AGGTTATTTGTAGGTTATTTTTCAAGTTATTCGTAGGTTATTCTTGGGTTATTTTTAAGTTAACTCGTGGGTTATTTTTAGTTTATTCTCAGGTTATTCCTGGGTTATTTTTAAGGTACGTGCAGGTGATTTTTAATTTATGCGTAGGTTATTCGTAGGTTATTTTTAAGTTATTTGCAGGTTTATGCGCAAATTATTCATAGGTTATTCTTAGGGTATTTTTAGGTTGTGTCAGGTTATTCGTAGGTAATCTGTATGTTATTTTTAGTGTATTGTTTTGTTAATTTTGAAGTAATGCGTAGGTTATTCCTATGTTATTTGTACGTTATTTTTAAGTTATGAGTTGTTTATTCTTTGGTTATTCCTAGATTATTTTTAAGGTATTATTTTGTTAATTTTTAAGTTATGAGTAAATTATTACTAGGTTATTGCTGGCTGATTTTGAAGATATTTTTAAGTTATTTTAGGTTATTCCTAGGTTATTCCTTGGTTATTTGCAGGTGGGCAGGTGATTTATAAGTTATGCGCAGATTATTCGTAGGTTATTCCTGGGTTATTTTCAGGGTATTGTTTTGTTAATTTTGAATTAATGTGTGAGTTATTCCCGGGTTATTTTTAGGGTATTGTTTTGTTAATTTTGAAGTAATGCGTGGTTTATTCCTGGGTTATTTGTAGGTTATTTTTAAGTTATGCATAAGTTATTCGTAGATTATTCTTGGGTTATTTTTAGGTTATTTGCAGGTTTATGCGCAGGTTATTCATAGATTATTCCTAAGGTATTTTTATGTTATGCATAGGTTATTCGTAAGTTATTCCTGGGTTAATTTTTAAGGTATTGTTTTGTTAATTTTTATGTTCTGCGTAGGTTATTCGTAGGTTATTGTTGATGTAGTTTTAGAGCATTCCAGTTTTAATAACATTATTAATAACAGTATTAATAACATGCATCGTATTCCTGTATATTGATGAATAAACATTCTTTGGTTATTCCAGTATTAATAACATGCATCTTATTCCTATAGGTTGATGAATAAAGAGTCAATGAATTGTAGATGCCGACCATCAGCAGTTAGAGAGGTGTTGGATAAGGTTCAGCCAATTGTTGATTGGGAGACGTGGTTTATTTATATAGCCTTGATTGATTACGAATTGTCTTTATATTATATAGCCTGAATGATTACGAATTTTGGCAGGTTTATTTACTCCGAGGATTTGGTTTATATGCTTGTCTATTGTGGCAGACTTATTTACTCTGATATATTATCTGTTTGATATCTTACTGCATGTTATTGTTGATGTATTGTTATCTTGTTGGGTTATTCTAGGGGTATTGTCAGGTTATTCTTGGGGTATTGTAACGTTACGGTTGAATAATTGTTAGGTTAGTTATTGTTAGTTTATTCTCGGGGTATTATTAGGGTTACGATTATTGTTGATGTATTGTTATCTTGTTATGTTATTCTATGGGGTATTATAGGGGTATTGTTAGGTTATTCCTGGGGTATTGCAAGGTTACAGTTGAGTTATTGTTAGGTTATATTTGGGGTATTGCTAGTTTATTGTTGGGGTATTGCTAGGTTATTCTTGGGGTATTGTTAGGTTACGGCTGATTTATTGTTAGTTTATTGTTGATGTATTATAAGGTATTCTTAGGTTATTGTTGGGGTATACTTAGGTTACTCTCGGGGTATTGTAAGGTTACGGTCAGGGTATTGTAAGGTTATTGTTAGGGTATTCTTAGGTTATTCTCGGGGTTTTGTTAGGTTATTCTTGGGGCATTCTCAGGTTATTCTCGGGGTATTGTAAGGTTATTGTTGGGGTATTTTTAGGTTATTCTCGGGGTATTGTTAGGTTATTGTTCGGGTATTTTTAGGTTACTCTCGGGGTATTGTAAGGTTACGGTCAGGGTATTGTAAGGTTATTGTTGGGGTATTCTTAGGTTATTCTTGGGGTTTTGTTAGGTTATTCTTGGGGTATCTCAGGTTATTCTCGGGTTCTCAGGTTATTCTCGGGATATTGTAAGGTTATTGTTGGGGTATTCTTAGGTTATTCTAGGGGTATTCTTATGTTATTGTTGGGGTATTCTTAGGTTATTCTCGGGGTATTGTTAGGTTATTCTCGGGGTATTGTTAGGTTATTGTTGGGCTATTCTTAGGT